TCTTATTCCTGCGTCTACTAGTAATGGTCGTGACATGGTAGAACTTAGTGTTGCGGTCTCCATCCTTGATCCAAGCCATTCTAGCTTTGTTAAACCACAACTGTTCCTCTAGCTCCAGAGTATCCTCAAGTTCGCCTCTCAGATCAATTTCCAGTTTGATTAAGAATGGATTAAAACCACAGTCTGATTTCCTTTGTATCCCTTCGATCCTCCTGATGAGGGAGTTCTTTTTTCGGCTGATGATTCCAAAGGTATTGTAATTCGAGTCTTTCAAAACGGGCACTAATCTGGACAGGTTTAGAGAAGTCCCTGATTGAGAATCCCAATTTTCCTCCAGAACCTGCTTAAAGTTGGGGTGCTCTAGCCAAGGAGGAAAAAGTCTAAAAGGTCTCGGAGACCAGTTAGCTGAGGCAGTAAACAAAGAAATAAGGAGAGGGTTGTGGTCGGAGTATAACCTGCGGAGGAGGACCTTAACCACAGCTTCTTCATAACACAGCCTTCACTGAGAGTTTGCCACTGCTCTATCTAGTCTCTTATATACCCGATCAAGGTGGGAGAACTTGGGACCCTTCCAGGTGAAATGAGATCCACAGCTACCAAGATCCATGAGCTTACAGTCATCAAGCACCGCGGAGAAGTCAGAGCATCTGCTTAGGTTTACAGGTGCTCCCCCTATTTCCTCACTAGCCGTGAGAATCTCGTTGAAATCACCCGCGAGTAACCAAGGTTCCTCAAACGACGCTTGGATACGGCGAAGATCATCCCACAAGGTCTGACAGTGCTCTACCCTGGGGTTGGCATAAATAGCAGTAAACATAAATGGCTACTTATTGGGAATGGAGACTTGAACCAAAATAAATTGGTCCCCTTACTCAATTAGCTTCAAAGAGCAGCTAGATTGATTCCAGAGAATCCATAGACCCCCTGAAAAACCCACCGCGTCCTCCGTAATGGAATCGTCGAACCCCAGACTACGGATAATCTTTGTGGCACGCATTCCACTCACCCTCGGCTCGAGGATCACAACCATGTCACACTGGTGTTTCTTGGACAAAGTTCCCATCATACTTTTGAACCTCTTCTTTGCCGCTCCTCGGCAGTTCCAAACTAGAACGTTCATTGGACACCTGGGAGAGTTCTAGTGGGTTTCTGGGGCCCACTCTTCCCATTGTCCTTCCTTTCTACAAGATGTTTTAAATCTCTGGTCTCCAACAGAGACTTGGTTGGGCTATTGCTCCTCGATCGCTGAATCCCCTTCTCCCTATGCCTTTCTGGTGGCAGGTTCTCCTTCCTAGTCCAAGAGGGTATCACCACCGTTCTGGGATACATGCAGGCAATCGCCCTGCTCAGAGCCTCTTCATTAAGAGTTGGCTCCATGTGTCTCATTTGGGAGAGTATCTCGTGCTCTACTTCCCTCTTCGTGCCTTTGATCTGACTTTCTTCCCCTGTTTCCTTTTCTTTTGTGGCTTCAGTCACCGTCTGGGGTAGACAGGTGTGTCTCGAAAGGATTTGGAGTATCACTTGGGCCTGGCCCTTCGTTCTTGTTAGGGTTTTGCTGTTAAGTGTAGCTGGGCCCTTATCCCACGTGTTTGCCGATTTTTTAATGTTTATTTCTGTGACCACTTTCACATTAGGTGTTTCTCCTTTAGCTCTACTCATTTCAGCATCAAGCTGCAAATTTATTTTTCGTTATTTTGTCCCTTGATTGTTAGGTTTTATGGAGAGTTCGTTTTCCATTACAATCATGGGGTTGGAGGTTCACATTTTCTTGTCTACAATCCTTCCTTTCTCCCTCTTTGTGTTCATGATAATCAACATAATTTGGAGATCAAAAACCAAGAACTCAAACTCCAAGTTGCCACCAGGACCAAAGAAACTACCTCTCATAGGGAACATCCACCATCTTGGAACTCTGCCTCATCGCTCCCTAGCAGAATTGGCAAATCAATATGGCCCTCTCATGCATATACAACTTGGTGAGCTTTCCTGCATAGTGGTATCTTCACCACAAATGGCCAAAGAAGTGATGAAAACACATGATACCAACTTTGCAAATAGGCCTCATGTGCTTGCTGCAAAAGTAATCACTTATGGTAATAAGAGCATGAACTTCATTCCACATCGAACTTATTGGAGGCAGATGAGAAAGATTTGTGCAGTGGAGTTACTAGCACCAAAGCGTGTTGAGTCCTTCAGATCAATTAGGGAAGAAGAGTTGTCAAATCTTGTCAATGAGATATCTTTGAGTGAAGGGTCGTCAATCAATCTAAGTAAGAAGATTACTTCATTGGCATATGGATTAATATCACGGAGTGTTTTAGGTGGAAAATCCAGGGACCAACAAGTTTATATAGATCTTATGAAGGATGTCTCAAAGGCAGTTGCAGGGTTCTCTCGTGCGGATCTGTATCCTTTCATTGGAGTTCTTCAAGTTCTTACTGGGATTAAGACTAAAGTTGAGAAGATTCATCGAGAAACGGATAGGATACTTGAGAACATGGTAAGGGATCACAAGGATAAAATTTTGGAGAAAGAAGCTTTTGGTGAAGAAAATGGGGAAGATCTAATTGATGCTCTTTTAAGACTTCAGAAGAATACTGACCTCGAACATCCTCTATATGAAAGTATTGTCAAAGCAACCATTTTGGTTAGTATGTTTCTGTTAAAAATCATGCAAAATTTCCAAGATAAATAGATCAAGTCAAAAATTTCCTAGCTAAGATTTTTTGTTTTTCAATTTTTTTTCATTGTCAACAATTGTTTGATGCGAGCAAAGTATGATTGAAAATACTAGTCTTGAAATTTTTTTTACAGTATTGTAAAGGCAATAATTTTTTTCAATATTTTACCTATAAAAAAAACCTTGCAGAATTTCCAAATCTGAATCATATAGGAGATTTTAAGTAATTTCACACATAAACAATAAATGAATTTGATGGATTTAGGTTTTAAAGGCAACTTTATTGGAAAACACATATTTAACCTTATGCTAAACCGATAAATTTGATTCTGTGATGAACTCTTGGTGATTATTTTACATAATGTCATGCCCCAAGATATCTTTCAGGACATTTTCAGTGCTGGAAGTGACACTTCATCAACAACAATCGATTGGGCAATGTCAGAACTGGTGAAAAACCCATGGGTGTTGGAGAAAGCACAAATGGAGGTAAGAAGAGTATTTGATGGGAAATGATATGTGGATGAAACAAGTATTCATGAACTGAAATACTTGAGATCAGTTATCAAAGAAACCTTGCGTCTACATCCACCTATTGCATTGTTGCTTCCAAGGGAATGCAGTGAAAGATGTGAGATTAATAGGTATGAGATACCAGCCAAGAGCAAGGTCATTGTTAATGCATGGGCAATTGGGAGGGATCCCAACTATTGGATTGAAGCTGAGAAATTTTATCCAGAAAGGTTCCTTGATAACTCAATTGATTACAAAGGTGCAGAATTTCAGTTTATCCCATTTGATGCTGGAAGAAGGATTTTCCCTGGCATTACGTTTGGCATTGTTAATGTTGAAATTTCACTTGCAATTTTGTTTTTCCATTTTGATTGGAAGATGGCAAAGGAGACATGCCTGAAGAGCTTGATATGACTAAATCCTTTGGCTTGTGTGTGAAAAGAAAACAGGATTTGCAATTGATTCCTATCACTTATCACTCAACTACAAGTTAAGGGCTTAAGGCCATATTTTAGAAACTTTTGTGTGTAATCCCTATCAGACATTGGCCATAATAATACCCCATCAAGCTCTTTTTTTTTTTTTTTTTTTTGTAAACATACCCCATCTAGCTTTTATTTTTATGAATAATTTATGTGTCATCCTCTATTTTTTAAAAGTAGTTGAAATGGCTAGTGTTTTTTTAGTAGGTGTGAAGAAGAAACTTAAAAAAGAAGTATGTGAATATTTTACTTGACAAGATTTAAAATTCTAATATGATAATTATTTTAAGGAAAATTTTTTTCTAGATAAAGTTATCTCCTCGTATTACGATGGTATTTTGGGATTTAAAAAAAAATGGTATATTTTAAAAAATTTACATTCCAAAACACAATGTATTATTAATGATGAAAAAAAAAAGGCAACATAAGAGGCATGTAGGAGTGGCAATACGAGTCAACCCGACACGACACGACACGTTTTCGACCCGTACACTATTTGACACGACCCTGACACGACCCGTTTTGTAAACGGGTCACAAAACACGAACCCTGACACGACTTGTTGCGGGTCCCGGGTCGACACGACACGACCCGCAAAATTTAAAATTAAAAAAAAGTGGGATTTTTTGAAAAATAAAAAAATAAAAAACAATAAAAAAATAAAAAATAAAATTAAAAAGATTAGCTTTTGTTTTTTGAGATTTTTAGTTCCTTGTATTCTTTTCTATACTAAACAATGACTATATATATCAATATATAAATGAATAGAAAAAAAATAATATAATAAAATATTTAATTGAAAATTAAAAAAATGACACTATGCGGGTTGACACGCGAATCCGCGGGTTGACACGTGACCCGATACGAAAAAAACGGGTCATATTTACACAACCCTAACACGACCCGACCCATAAATTGACACGATACGTGATTTGTCACAAATCAACCCACGAGTCAATACCGAGGCATGAACCTATCTTCAGTAGCATTCTACTAACTTCAATTAGAAAAAGTCATTAAAAAGTAAATGAACTAATAAAGGCATGTAGTTAAAAAAAATAAAATTATTCAGACACTGGAAGAGGAAGACGAAAGGTGTGAAGAACTACAGAGTCGCTGCTCTTTCTTCATTTCTTCTGTTTAGGCGCCATTTTCATCTCTCTTTCTCTCTTTCTTCATTTCACATCAACCCTTTTCTCTCTCTCTTCTGCTTAAGAACAAGCCTCTTTTTCTCATTATCTTATGATCAAAAGCCGGTGACATTTTCCAAACCCATTGTTTCCTCCGCTCTTTCCTTCCAAAGTTTGTACCTTTCTAGGTTTTTCATGAACTCTCGACCCAAAACAGAACCTGGGTCACCGTCTGTGGCATCGAGTAGCCATGGAAACTTTGAGGAGAAGAGCATTACCGAACTCATCTCAGTATTGCGTGTTGCGTATCTTGTGGATGATTTTGACAGAGTCGAAAAGGTTTTGGTGGCTAGGGATGAGAGACTCAGAGATGAAATTGGGCCACTCCTACATAAGATTGAGATGGAGAGGCTGGAGATAATTCAAGTTCAAGAAGAACTGATGAAGAGAGAGGAACTGTGTGAGAGGGGCAAGAAAGTGCAGGAGAGTTATGAAACATTGGAAGTGAAGACAAATGGATTGGTTGATAAAAAAACTATTGAAGAGCTCAAGAATAAGAACCTTGAATTAGAGTGTGAAAATTCCAAGCTTAAGGAGTTGAAGAAAAAATGGGTGGAAGATAGCAATGCTTTGCATAAGCTTAGGATCAGAGTCCGTGAGTTGGAGGATGAGAAGCTAGATGACAAGAATGTTTTGGCTGCACTTAAGATAAAAAACAATGAATTGGAAGGAGTGAAGAAGAATTTGGCAACCCTTGAAGAGTTGAGAACTGAAAACCACAAATTAGAAGATGAGAAGCTTAGGCTTAAGGCATTGGTTGAGTCTTTGGTGAGGAAATTTGGTGAACTGAATCGTAGGGTTGTGAGATTGGAGGTTGATACAAAGCTTTTAATGAGTGCAGATGCCTCTAGTCGTGGAAACAATAAGGGGGAGCCTCCAGCTGATCCTAAGGTTACTTTTCAAGTCATAGATAAAGAGGATGAAGAGTTGAATGAAATGGATGTTAATGGCTACGAGTTTGGAATTGACACTGGGGGCCCTGCTCCTTTGCAAAGAAATGAAGATACTCCCCACTCTCTTGGTGCTGGCACTACTCAGTTCCCAAGCAAAGCAAAGAAAGATGCTCTAGGTGCATCAGGTATGGAAATTCTGCATACAGATATGCATTTTTTGAATGTTACCTTATAAATATTGAATTAGATAGAAGTGATCAGATGAATGAACTTTGGTCAGATTTTTGGGTAGTTGGAACCATGATGTTTCCTGATTTATTAAGGAAATGTGTAGGTAATGACTATGGTAAAGAGCAATGTTTTAATAATTTAGTTGAACTGTTGAGTGTTAGGCCCCAACACATGGCCAGTCCCTTTATTACTTTTAGAGTAATAATATAAACCATTAAAGAGGCACTCATCCAACACCTTAATGTTTTGGGTTGTTACATGGTATCAGAGCTTCAGACCACGAGGTCACGAGTTCGTTTTTCACCGCTCCCCACTTTTGAATGAAATTAAAATAAGCACAAGGTAAAACCAAAATAATATTGGGCCTGTGCAATATTCACACTCTGCGTGAAAGGGTGCGTTAGAAAATAATATAAAACATTAAAAATACCCTCACCCAACAACTTAAGGTTTTGAGTTGAAATGGTTCTTTACAAGGTATCAGAGCCTCGTGTTCCGGGTTCGATCCTCGTTACTGCCATTTTCTTTATGGAATTTTTTAGCACAGGTAAACTGGACCTGATGCATCATTCACATTTCAAGCCCAATGGGCTCTCTTGTGACAACCTTTTAGGTTGAATTAGTTTTTTACAATTACTATTTATAATCTTCTGCTTAAGTTCCTGTGTTGACAGAGAAAGGACTGGCTTGGAGGAAAAACTCTCATTGTATTGTCCTATAACAGTCCTCTAATCCCTTCTAATAATAAAATCCGCAGACAATTTTTCTATGATTTGTCGAGGGTCCTAACAGTGAGGCTACTAGTTCTTAGCCTAACTGGTTTCTCAGGGGATTGAACGATCATGTTAAAAAACCATAAAATATGATTTTGCAACCATAATTAGTCACAATTTGAGACCATAAACTCATCAGATCATCCGTTCTTATTTTTAAAGTGAAAATGCCATAATGTTTCCCACAAGTTTGAAGTTCGAACAACCAAGTTTACACAACAAATTTATAAATCTGGGAAATAGCCTATGATGTCCACTTGCAAGTGCAAAGTAAGATTGCCTGCACATCAAAACCTTCTCTGCAATACCAGACATAGCAGAGCTTTATATCACTAGGTTATCCCTTATTTAGCTTAAGATGTCTACTTGTGCAAAGAAGCCTAATATTGATTTTCCTTTGTTATCTTACGTTAACTAGAACATTGTTCCTATTGTCTACCTTTGATGTTCAGCTCATGGTTTCATTTGGAGAGTCCTGGCTGCTGGTATTTTGTGAGATTTGAGGACCCTAATTTTAATTTGTAACTGTTGAGGTTTTCTTTTGATTTCTGTTCTCTTAGAAAACTGCAAATCATCTCTTTTGTGATTTCTTCTTTTTCCCTTGATAAACTTTTCTTTCCATAAATACGAAAGAAAGAACAAACGAAAGCAGGTAAGAAAGGTCATTTTATTTTTCCTATGTAAACAAGATTATAGTGTAGCCTGCTGTATATATTATTTGAATTTAATGAAAGCATATATTAGAAGAGCCAGAGGCTGGATTATCCATGAATGCTGAGGCAACTTCCATTATTTTATTTGGATTACAGAATCTATTACTCTTTCTTTTTCAAGCTTTTGCTTGAGTTTTTATGTTGGCAAATGTAATGTTATGTAAGCTTCTCATGTCTCTTTTGTGCCAGCTCGGGGAAGATTGGTATCGGAAAATGTTATTGAGATTGTAGACCTAGATGATGATGATGATAGGTATATATCACATGGAAAGAAGGCTATTTCTCAAAATATTGTGAAGAATGAGCATCCAAGTTCATCAGACGCAGCCCAGCAGAAAAACATTTTTACAAAAGCACAGAAGATTGAAATGGTCAAAAGAAAATTTCCTTTTTCTGATAGTGACAGTTCCAGTTCCAGTTCCTCTATTGAATCATTAAATATCGATAGTCTTGCGTTAAGTTCCCGTGGTATTGCATGTAAAAAGAAAAGTTAAAATTAGGCAAAGAGTCATGGATTAAACTCTCTTTTTTTTTTTTTTTTTTGAAAGATCCTGGATTAAACTCATTGCCAAGGTAAATGGGCTTTATTAAATATAGCCCATTTAGATTAGTTCCAGTTTCTACGTGGAAGCTTAGATTAGTTCCTGATTTAAACATGTTGCAATTGTATATTATTATTGGTATGGTAGACACAGTACCCTTGTATGTAAGTGTACTTTATTTAACTGAGAAATTCGAAGTCATCTACTATGTTTAACTATGCATGTTTATCATGGATGCATGAACTATATATGTATAAACTAGTATGCATGAACTATGGGTTTTTAGCACCACTTTGTCAACATCCGGAGAAGAAACCACTCACCAAGTCTTAGGTGCATCAGAGGGCCATATTTTGGGGCTAGTTCTCTCAACCAGAGAACCAATGGGTTGTCGTATCAGATGTTCATTTCATATACAGAATAGCTACGACTTATATTGACTGAAAGAGTGAAGCACAATTTATTTGAATGATATAATAATTAAAACCTAATTTTATACTCACATTAACGTTGATTGGAATAAATGAGGAATTGTAAGTTGAATTCAAATGAAGAAGATAAAGACAAAAGGGAAAAAAAGTATTTTACATTAAAGAAAAGTGAACATGAAAGATATTTACCAAAAAAAAAAAAAAGTGAACATAAAAGATGGGAAACATCTCCCATGCATGCCACAAGCCATATATAATATATAATGAGTTTTGTGCAACCATCAGTTGCTGCCATCCGCAACCATCAGTTACGTACTTTTCAGAGTGACTCAAGTTTATGGTCTTATGAATCAATCAGGTACAGGATTGTAAGAAATAGGAACTAAGATTAGATCTGTTTTCCTTCTTGAAGAGGAGCCCAATGCTTCAGTCATTTCTAGATTTTCCTTGGTTCCATCAGGAAGTTTCCAATTATAGTAGTACAACAAGTGTGCAAGAGAAAGTTCAATACCAGACATACCAAACAAAATGCCCGGACACATTCTCCTTCCAGCACCAAAAGGTATGTATTCAATATTGGAACCCTTGTAATCAATTGAAGAATACAAAAATCTCTCTGGACAAAACTTCTCTGCTTCACTCCAGTAATCAGGGTCTCTTCCAATTGCCCATGCATTGATTATCACTTTGTTTCCTGCAGGTATTGTGTACCCTTTAATCTCACAAGTTTCTCTACATTCTCTTGGGAGAAGCAGAGGAAAAGGTGGGTGTAATCTCAATGTTTCTTTTATGACCGCTTTCAGATACTTTAGTTTTTGAAGAGCTGTTTCATCAGTGTAACCTCTGCTACCAAAAACTTTTCTAACTTCTTCTTGAGCTCTGATCATTACTCCTGGGTTTTTCACCATCTCTGAAATGGCCCATTCTATTACTCCAGATGTTGTATCACTTCCAGCAACAAACAAGTCCTGCAGCAGGAAAATTAATTCAAATTAATTAATTAATTAATTAATTAGCTCTTTTCATTTTTACTGTGCTTTATCTGTGTTGGAATATGCTGTATATTTCCAGAAAAATCTAGAATATTGGGCGACAAAAAATTGCTAAAAAGTCTCTAACTGCACAATCATGGAGCACGACGACAATCATAGGTTTAGAGGCAAATATTATTAAAAATCATTTTAAGCCGAAGTCAAGAGAAAGCCATAGACCTCTAAGCACTCGCATACAACTAATACAAAATGAAGAAATTATTAGTATATAAAATGAAAAATATTTATATACTAATAGAAATAGGGTTTATCATCTATAATTTAACATGACCACAAAAAATTTCCTACACACATAACACTTTTTGGAGCCCGCAGTAAAAAAAAAAACTCCGACACGCAAAATGAATCTCTATAACATAACACAATCACTTTTCTTACAACATAACTCTTATAAAACCCATAAAAATATCTATAGAACAAACTTGTTGATAAATGAGTCGAACATGCTAGAAATGTCCTGCAAGATTATGACTGACCATACATGGTTGGTTACGACCTCTATAAATAACCATGTTATGCTGACTGTGAAGTGTGTGACGGTTATGGTCACGTAAATTAATATTAAATAATGTTGTTGTTCTAATCATTATGTAATTACTCCTTCTATGATCTATTATCTAAATCCAATAACATGAGAGTTGTTTAATTTTCCTTATTTTAGCGTATAGAACGTAAGTAGAGGAAACTCTTCTCTACATGTAATATATATTTACGAATTTTTTATTTACAAACTCTTACAAACTACAGTATGTATTTTCGGAAGTACATAATGTAATTTGTAAAAATTTATAAACGGATCCTTTCTATATATATATTTCTACGGCCATTTTAAATAACATTATCTATAGCTACTCATTTTTAACTAAATTTGACCAGTAAGATATAGTAAACTAATTGAGCAGGTGGGGTGAGAGCATGTGTTCAATCATCTCTAATACCGTCTTTGGGAGAGGTTTAAAGTCTTAATCACAGGACCCTCCTCGAATTAGACTAGTCACGAATAGATAAACTGATTGGTAAGGAGTCTAGGCCCCTTAATCAGGAGTGAAGTTAGGGGAACAAAAAAAATTGGGTGGGACTAAGGTGAGAGAAAGAGAGAAAATGTTGAGGAGAGAAGAGAGAAAATAAAAAATTTAATACAGGTGTTAATTTTTGAGTGGAAAGACCACGGTGGTCCCAGAGGTTGAGTTTGAGCATGGGAATGAGAAAAAAAGATTTGGCAGAGTTGCCACATTTAATAGGGTCCAACAAGTGCTGGAACCGGATGTAATTCGAAGGATGAAGATCTAGTTCGAAGGATGAATCGGTTCGGGAAATAAATAAGAAAAAAATTATCGGGCATAATATAAGAGAAGCTATTCCAAACATAGGAGGATCCATTCGAGAAAATAATACACATACCAAAATTACAGCTTTGATGTTGTCGATTGTCAAGGGATACTCAAAGTCTTCATGATCTTTAATATTTAAGAGAACAGAGAGAAGACCCTGTACTTGTACTTCACCGGTCTTTGTCACTGCCACTCTGATGATGTTTTCAAAAATTGTATCCAATTTTCGATGCAACTCCTCCAGTTTAGGCTGCATTCCAGTGATCAGGTGAAGCCACTTTTGAGAAGGAAACAAGTCAAAAACAATCAAACCTTCGACCTGTCTCACAAGCTTCTTGATCAATGAAAGGAATTCTTCTTGGTCCTTGCATTTTTCACCAAATGCTGCCCTTGCAGTAATGGCACTTGTCATGCAAACCACTCTGTCACTGAGGTTGACAGAAGATCCAGTGTTAGAAGAAATATATCTTATTAAATTCGATACCTCTTCTTCCCTTATTGATTGGAATGATCGCACACGTTTAGTGCCAAGAAGCTCTACTGAGCATATTTTTCTTAGCTGCTTCCAGTAACCTCCATATGGGGCAGTGGCAATGTCAGTGGAACCATAACACATGATATCTGCACCAATTTGATGAGGTCTTTGAGCAAAGATGGCATCATAGGTTTTCAACACCTTTTTGGCAAATTCTGGAGAAGAAACCACGATGGTTGATACTTCACCAAGTTTAAGGTGCATAAGAGGGCCATATTTTTGGGCTAGTTCTCTCAACCGGTGATGGGGTAGAGAGCCAATCAGATGGTGTATGCTTCCAATGACAGGAAGCTTCCATGGTCCCAGGGGAAGGTTCGATGTTTTTTCTGTGGCTTTGAATCTTTTTCTTACTCTCAGAATCCGTGAGATGATAAGCATAAAAATCAGTGAAAATAAAAGGAATGGTAAAGATGAGAAGTGATGCTCCATGAGGAAATTGTAGAGCTTGTGAGTGTTAGTAATATACGTGATTTCAGGCATATATATATATATATATATATATATATATATGGTTTCGTCGTTTCTCCGTTTGCTGTTGATGAGAAAAGTTGCAGCAAATTATTAACACTAGGATACGGAGTCGTATCCTGGCCTAAAAAAAAACACATCAGAATTCGGACGCGTATCCTGATAAAAATAAGTGTTGCTGCATTTTTTCCTATCTGCAATGACACAGAAGAAGTATATAATAGGGTAAACAACTTATCCTTTTTTTCACAAGAGAAGTTGTTTTTTCCCGCAAAGAGAGTTTTTCAGTGGGGTTCAATGGTTGTTTTAAAAAAACAAAACAAAAAGCAAATCACACATTTCGTTGCTTGTGAGTTGGAGAAGTTGTTTATCCATATATATAACGGCAGAGCCAAAGACGAAATTATGATATAAATTTTTTCTTTAAAAGTATAATTATTTATATGAAAAAAATAAAAATTGTATTTATAAATAAAGGTTTGTACAGATTTGGAAGAGGACAAGCATTAAATATACAATTAAAAAATTAGAAATAATGTTCGATTTCTATAAATTTGAAAGGAGACAAATATCCCTATTAGTCCCTCCTTCGCTTCGCCACTCGTTATATATTGGCATTTTGATCCACTTCAATTTCTTCGTTAATTAAAAGTTCTAGTGGGGTAGACATAAATAGTTAAGAATTAGACTCATATCCTACAAAAACGTAAAATATTAGTTTCTAATCATACTTAAACTTTTATGTATTACAAGAAAAACTCGTTTTGCATTGTTAATAACAATCAATTGCACTTTTTTTTCTGCAACTTATCAATTCTCTTGTATAAAAACGCATTCGATTTAGCATTGTTGATTTTACCTTTTCCTTAACTTAAAATTTAATTAAAGGGTATGTGGTTATACTTACAACATCTTTTTCCTTTACAATTATTTTTATGATTGTTGGATCAAAATCAATCAATTGTTATTATCTGATTTTGATTCAATAACCATACAAATGATTCTAGGAGGTTGTAAGAAAAAGAGATGTCATAAGTATAATCTCCCTTTTAATTAATTAATTTCACTGATAATAAAAAATGATCAATAATAAACCTTTGTAGTTATTATTATAATCGCATTTAAAATTTACTATGCTATTAGAAAAGTTATAAATTGCACTAAGTATTAGGTTCTGATATTATTATTATTTTTTATAGCCAGGTTCTGATATATAATAATGCAATTAGAGATAAATTTTATATTCTAACACACATAAAAGTATGTGGGATCCATATTATTATTATTATTATTTTCTCCTCACATGAGCTCCACAAACTTTTAATTATATATAAAATTTTAGGAAATGATCCTTTAAAAAAGTAAAAATTGAATGTCTAAAATTACTAGGTATATGACAACCCACACTCCGAATAATTAACTTTTTTTGAATATAAGTAAAAATTGAACATGTAATTTAATACAACCTATACAAACCTCTCACCACTAAATGAATTCTAGTGGCTTGAATAATAATTAACTTTATACTTTAGAAAGTCTGAAAAATATATATCGAAAGATTAAATTAATAATAATAACCATTTCAAATAATAATAACCATAATAATAATAATAACCATTTGATATATGTTGATTAGTTCAGTGTTATTATCGTTTTCCCGTTGTCTTCATTATTGATAAAAGCCCAGTTAAACGGCTACCTCGTGTGATTCTATAAAAGTGGAAAGTGTTCAATCTTTCGTTTTCTACTCACATATGACACCTTTCATTTGATTCATGCCTATGTTATTACGGATGCTGAGGCCGGCTCTCACAAGTAATGCAAAATTCCACTTGATGTTACCGTCACATGACTATGTAACATTGTTCAAATTTCTATGTTGTCATAATTGTCTTGGGCCCAACTTTGAATGATGGAAGCCCAGTCCTTATCGAAGAAATGCCCCGTCGTGATAGTGTAACGAGAAAAGTCAGTTAGCAAAGCAGTTGGAAGGTGATTATTTTGGAATTAATTGAACAATATAATATCATCTAATATTATATCGATTTTTATATGGAAAATATGTTTATTTTATTATAGAAGATAATTTTATCTCATACAAGATATAAAAAGTGAGCGTAATTCACTTTTTTATTTCTCTATCTTTTCTTTAACGGGCATCACCCATTTTTTGTATGTGTTACATTAAATAAATTATCCCATGCAATTTGAAAAACATATTCTTCTTTCTCTATATACACTAATTAGACCTTTTATATTTACACAAGATATCGACCCTTAATTCTACTTAGTTGAAATTCATTTCAGTAATTAAATGTGTAGGTAATTCAGAAGAACGCGTCTTTAAAATAAAAATTCGTTGGAAATTTGCAACTCATGTAAGCAAAGATAACCTTATTCTGAAACTAGAAATTGATACAATACTTTTTTTTTATTGGGTAAAATGATATAATACTTTAACTTACCCCTGAACTTTGTTCGATCATAAAAAAGAAGAAAAAATATTTTTTGATGTTATTAGAGAAAGTATTTCTCATGTCACTTATACATCCATTTATGTGCTTTTTTTTTATTTATTAATAGTAGAACTCACCTAAAACATGAGTGTATAGGAAAATTTCTCCTCTTATTGTGAAAGGAGAAAAACAAAGCAAAAAAAAAAAAAAAAAAAACAACCGTTTGAAGCATAAACTGAAATTGAGAATAGTATCAGGCCAGGAAACACGATCCTTAACCATAAAGCACTCAACCTTGTGCGATAGTATTATGGCATGATAGCTCCTTTTAATCATTTTTGTTTTGTTCTTACAATAGTTATCACAGGGGTCCGTGAATCCAAATGATATATATCGCCAAGTAACATGACAAATAGAAAATTAAATATACCAGACATGCTAGTAAAGATACAGTCATATACTTCAATAATAGCATAAATAAGTATGTATAATCAAACCTGATTTATTAATTTGTAATTGGAAAAAGTTCAAATATTCCCATATGTTTTGTCTTTGAAATATCTTTATTTATTTTTTATCATTTATACTCTTATGTTTTTTTCTATTCAAGTCCCCCTTAACAGTGTTAGAAACTTAATTGATATATTTATTTTACCCTTCTTATAAAAAGAGTCAAATGTCTAAGGTTAAAGCTATAAATTTACTTGATGAACTTATCCCACATTTTTTTCTTGAAAAGAATCAAATGACTAAGGCCTAAACTATATATTTACAAATAAGAGAGAGAGTAAGATATCAAATGGTAGAGGCATCAAATATTATTTTATAATAATTCTTAATACATATTTTTTTAAATAATTATTCTATTTATACACAGCCAACGCATGATAGCCAAACTTTTTCACATAAAATAGAGTTGTAAATCTGGTTTATTTCACAGGATAAGTTATTTTATCTATATTTTTTCATGCCTACCTCACTTACCACTCTCAAACACTGTTAGATCATGATTTTAACTAACATTTATCATTTCTCTCTACTCTTGATATTTTGATCTAACAATATTGGATAGTGGTATATAAGGTGGGCATGAAAAAAAGTTAAGTAAAATAATATATCATTTATTTCACATCAAACAGACTTATAATAAAGTTGCTCTAAAAAATTTAGTATGGTGACAAATATTTGAAATGAATCTTACACTAGTTTTATGTTCAATTAGTTTCAAAATAAATAATAACAAGAATAAAATCTTATTCATATAGCATATTTGAAGATTGAGCAATATAATAGAAGTTACTCAAATGAAAAATAACTGTCCAATCAACTACTCTGGTAAATTCAAAAACAGTTATGCAAATATTATTATATCAATATTGCAGATATAAAATACCAATTCTAATTAATAACAAAGCTAATATTTTAATTGAACCAAGCCAGAACCGATTATTATCACTTAGCACAATCAAGAGACGGAACCATGCAAGTTTCCGTAAAAAAAAATTATGTATGAAACAATGATGCTATTTTATGAGCACACAGACCTAATCTAAGATTACGAATGAAACAATGTTGGAAATATATCTGTATCAACTAATTCTAGAAAATAAATTTCATCATAGAGGAGGTAAGAAAGAAAATTTATTACTTATTGTAGGCACTTCATAAATTTTGCTGAAAAAAGAAATTATGTATTGTAAGGAACCTTTGCAAAACTTAGGGGGGGAAATGACACACAAGGTAGCTGAAGTCTGAAGTGTATTTTTTAAGAAGAGTAAAATAATACTGTTCGGGAGAAAATTAGATGGAAAAAATTATAGAAGTGTAAATGATAAAAAAACAGAGATATAAATAATTCAAAGGAGAATCAGTATTTAAACTTTGAGATTAATATTTCTCGTATTATAAGAAATATTTTATCTCTTACACACGAATAAAATTATATGTGGTCCATGTTTTCTTTTTTTTCTTTTCTTCTCACATGGTCACATATGAGTTTTATATACTTTTACATATGTGCAAGAAATAAAATTATCTCTTACAAAATGAAAAACATTCATCTCTTAAACTTTTCCGTTTTTAATTTGAAATCCATTAAGTAGTTGCTTTCGGAGTTTGAACAGTGAGATTAAATAAGTCTAATGACGCTTACCAAAAAAAATAAAATAAGTCTAATGACAAATTGATATCTGAATATAATTATTTTAATTTAAATGGGCAATTGGCTACATTCTTTTAGTCAATTAAAAATATCTAAAATACAACTCAAATGACAAATTGCCTAGACGTGATCATCAAGGGAAAGTTTGGACTTTGGACCACCTTTTTGGACTTTGGTTGTAGGGGCGGTTGGAAGCCAAAAATATGCTCGTCAAATCTCTGTGAACGAAAACGATAAAGTGAGACCCGTGGAATTTGAAATCACATTAACACCTCAGCACCTCTCTTGTTTTTTTAATGTACTTGATCAACATATGAGTGAGATTCCAACAGAGTCGTCCAAAC